CAATTGTTTGATAGGTCGAATGCAGAACTATAAAATAGATAAGATTCAAATTCGCATTTTATGAAAGGTGCCCTGTTTTAAATCAAAACTCATGACTTTCCACTCTCACACAAATACAGTTTGGTCAACTCAACCGTGATAAATATGAAATGCCCTAACTGAATTTGATCATATGGAAAATCTGAGTTTGTATTTAGTTTAAGAAATTTATCATTTAAGTTTTTCGAAAATTTATCACATGCTAGAGGGTTGAAATTAAAAAATTAGTAACTTTGTAGTTCAATACTGTAAATTTTGTAAGTTACTGCTCAAATATTTAGCATTTTACGTATGCCTGACTAAATTTTCAAGCCGAGTGGGGTCTTTGTAACATTGAGCTTTCTTGGCGATAGAATAGGTAATTTAAAAAAGTTCCGAGTACAGAAAAATAGAAATTTATTAATCATTTGAATATACACAATTAGCATTAACAAAAATGAATAGAAACTATAGATTTGAATAAACAGTCATTATTTATCACCAGTTGAGTTTGTGTATTTTGTGACAGCTTTTGTGCCTTCACTGATGGCATGACGAGCAAGTTCTCCGGGTAAAAGCAATCTTACAGCAGTCTGAATTTCTCTGCTAGTAATTGTGCTGCGTTGATTATAATTAGTCAAGCGACTTGCCTCAGCTGCTAATCGTTCAAAAATGTCATTTACAAAACTGTTCATAATAGACATGGCTTTACTAGATATCCCAGTATCTGGATGAACTTGTTTCAGCACTTTGTAGATGTAAGAACTTTAAAAGAAAATGTTACAATTAATAAACTAGAAGAAATAGAGAAACGGTAAAAGTAAAAATATTTTTGCATTTAGAGTTTGTCTAAAGTAGGAACTCCCGAATGCATTCATGTGGATCTTTGGCGGTGACTGTGATAACGAGGTAAACTGTTTCAAGTAGGTATGTGGGCTCATTGTTTAGGACAGGTTTTTTTGGCTCGGCTCGGAAAGAGAAATTGGACCTTTTTTTCCCGGTCTATTGTGTTAGACCTAGCATGAAGATAAGTTATTCTACCTGAAATGCGCTGTTCTTCTTTCCATAGCAATAGACAACCTTAGACTTTATGGCGGGGGGAGTCCTTACCATAGACAAACTTTACTTTACAGTTAAAACTCTTAGAAATCAGAAAGCA